CATTTGTGTTGAAAATTCGAATCCCCTTCTTCATGCTGAGTTAGTTCAGAATACCTGCCAACTGGTTTCAGATTGGTGAAGGCATATCTTGCCTTTACAATTCTGTTTGGTGTTGTCATCTTCAACCGTTCCGACTGCCTGTGGTTGAAACAATGTTTCCTGGCCAGATAAGTGAAGGAAGTGATTATTAGTGACGATTGTTTTTTTTGCTATTGTTGTTGGCCGATCAGGCATCTTCATCACCTCCGTCTTCGCCATGTCCACCTGAAGTCGTGTCTTCGATGGCTGCTCCTTCAACCAGTTAGTTGTTAGTTTTCACCCGTGATGCCCCGAGTTTCTGTGACATTGAACAAGTAACCAGGCTGATATGATCTTAACATCGGATAGCTTACCGTTTCGCTCGTTCCGAGGTGACCTCATTAGCGGTGTAGTCGGATTTAACTAAGCTCACAGTAGCGAATCTTTTCAAATCATCCAATCACGTGTTTAGAGCACTTTAGTACATGATTAACAATCCCTACTATTTGGTATGGATGGTATGCAGTTAACTACTCATTCCACTCAACTAATCAGTAGTATGTAATCACATCCAAATATATTTGCTTTCTTAATTACCATTTGGGGATAAAAAAACAGATCAAAAATTATGATTTGAATAATTTCGATTCCTACAGTTAGCTGCAAAGTAATTTCACCTCAAGCTGAGTAAATAGCATACTGACACACAATTTGTGAGTTTCATTTAATCACCTTCAAAAAACCCATAAATAAACACTATTTGTACCAATAAGCGATTAAAAGTGCAGTAATAACAAAAATGGCCAAAATGTTCGGATAACAAAACAGGGTGATGCAGATAGGAATTATAAAAAATCATGTAAGAACAACCGAAGTTGCAAAATACTATTGCAATTACTTGCCTTTGAAACACTGAATCTTTGGATATAATATTGTTTATCGACAATACTTATAACTATCTATTTGCCACTCTGTGCTTGTTTAACACTAACTAATGATGTCACTAATATCTTTAATTGTATATATTGATGGATTTACATGTTCAAGTTGGCTCAATTCAGTGAGTCTATGATTTTGGTATTATTTTGGTTAACTGCACTTGACTGTGATATTATTATTGTTGTTGTCACTTGTTACCCTTCTTGTTGTGAATTATTTCCATGTGCTGGTGTTGTTCTGATTGTCTTATTCCTTGTTTTCCTGGTTTTAAGGGGAGCAACCCACAAGGTCGCTTCTCTCTAAACCATAATTTAATGTAACAATCCCCTTCTCAGGCGTGAGGCTAGCATCCCTACCCTGTAAACAAAGTTGCTACAGAAACTTCAGCACAATGAATCTCCTTGCGCCAAAAGAAAAAGTTTGTGTGGGGACATGGAATGTTCACACCATGTACGAGTTTGGCAAAGCTGCCCAGATCGCAAACGAAATGAAAAGATACGGAATTCAAGTACTGGGGATATGTGAAAGCAGATGGAACGGGAATGGACTCACCAAATTGTCAACGGGAGAGTCAGTGATCTACTCCGGTCACCCAGAGGATAACCACATGCACATCGAGGGCGTGGCTATCATGATGTCACCAACGGTAACGAAGGCCCTCATGCAATGGGAGGCGATCTCGCCCAGGATAATGACCGCCAGATTCAACTCCAAAGGGAGGAAAGTGACAGTTATACAATGCTATGCACCCACAAACAACGCAGATCTCGAGAAGAAAGAAGAGTTTTACAGACAACTACAGGCAACAGTGGACAGTACTCCAGTTGGTGACATTAAAATACTTATGGGAGACATGAATGCCAAACTGGGACAGGACAACACAGGAAGGGAACTCATCATGGGTAGAGAAGCTCTCACAGAAATGAATGAAAATGGAGAACTCTTCGCCGACTTCTGCGCCTTCAATGAACTAGTGATTGGTGGCAGTGTATACAAACCGAAATAAACAGGGAGATTGAATAAGAAAGGCAATAGGATAATCAGTGCTGATAAGATTGACATTTTATGATGACCGTGGTAGTGGTAATGGTTGGATGTATTTCTTTCTATGAATGTATAGTGTGGGCTTAAACTTTTGGATTGCTGGTGCCTTAGACCAAGTTAAACTTTAAGCACCACTAACTACCTACCAATCAGCGAATTACGTTGAATGGTCCAATGAGTTTCATCCATGTGAGTTGAAGATTCTATTCCGCTTGATTCGAGTTAAATGCCCTGCTCTAACACAGTTACGCTTGCAGTTTAGTAAGGATAAGGCTTCCCAGGATTGCTTGGATGTGAGGTTGATTAGAAGGGAAGGGGATTTGTTCATATGGATGTGTCATGAATATAAAAAGTTTTAGCAAGTCTAATGATGGATATGTCCATCGTTGTGCAGTGTCTGTTTGAGACAAGTTATTGTCAGGGAAGGTAAGCTGATGATTCTTATATTTCGTAGGACCATTTTTCGCCAGGTCTCGAATGTCCTTAAACCAGATTTTGTGTATCTGTAATTACTGGGTTTAAGAAAAACGGCCTGTAAGAGGTACAGCTGCTGGAAATGAAAATAGTTTCGTATCAACAGTTTAGCGGTACCAGCACTGCAGAGATATCGCGTCATTGAGGAGGAGGTGTCATCATACACGTGGATGAAACTGTCTTATTGAAGAAAAATACAACCATGTTCATGGACGAGCAAACAATGTTTGTCGACAGAAAAGCAGACAGAAAGTCAACTACTTTCATACCTATTATCACTCGACTTATTAAACAGGCATCTGTAATACACACCAATGAGTGGAAAGGTTATAACTCCCTGTCATCCCTTGGGTATATTCACCACCGCTGAGTCAACGATTCTAGCGATTTTTTGGATCCTATTACAGAGACACACACCAGTTCTGTAGAAGCCTTTTGGTGAAGGTTGAAAAACATGAT